AATATTTACTTTTTGGTATTTGTATTTGACAACTTATTATTTATATGTTATTAAATTAGATTACGTTAATTTGTAAAAGTTAAGATTGAACTTGGCATTTGTATCTACTTTTTATTATTAATATTGGTATCCACTTTCAGGTGTATTTATGTAGTATTATTTTAAATGTTAAAAAATTTAATTATAGTATGTAACCGAACGGAACCAAACAGAACTGAACCGAACGGTTTCAAAATTATATTTGGAACCGACGGTTCCATTTATTAAATACCCGAAAATTTCAGGAACCGAAAAAAAATCGAACCGAACCGAACCGACTCGCGCCCACCCCTATTCCCGGCAGCACAAACGTAAAACAGAGATTGAAATCACAGGTGGCCGTACATTCTAGGTTGGAATCCCCTTTCTTCTAATATAATTCTCCCTTACATTGCGTGGCAGCATGACTTGCACATTGGTTCCGTCTATCGCACCAATGCAATCCTTTAATAATAATATGTATCAACAAAACTTCAATTCATCAGCACATTACATGTTGTTCTATCTATGACGTGAACAAAATAACCTGGAATAGAGGATATCATTCCACGTTCGGATGATGGTGAGTTGCCCCTTCGTTGTAACGATGATCTGGTTTAATCATGGTTGCAGCGAAAGCAACGCATGCACGCAGGATCGTCTTAAAGTAATTGCTGATTGTCTGCAACAAATGATCGAATAGCGTTTGGACTTGTCGATATCCTTGGCCGTGTGCTAGAATACAGAAGAACATTCCCACCTGTTCGTATATGTTAATGTTTGGGCTGCTGGAAAGTATGTACTTGTTGCGAAGTATGTGCTGAAGTACATAAACATTGGCGGGTACATCCTAAACTCTTGGAAACACGCTTGTGGATACACATGCAAATTTTGTAGCATAAAAATGTGGCCGCATCGCGTTGTCGGTAAGGCTCTAAATGGATCCGATCCGATCTGATAAGAAAATTATCTGATCCGATAATCCAACGGATATTTGATGGTTAAATCCATATCCGATTTGCTATGTTATCGGATATCCAATTCGATAATCCGATCCGAAATTAATAAAAATTAGGAAAAAAATAATGTTCTTTAAAAAATTTTGAACTAACTTGAGGCCTACTTGTTTTTACTATCAAGCTTAATAGTGACTTCTACCATCATGATATTCATTTTTAAAGGATAGACTCTCTTTTAGTTTTCTATTGACATTCGATATGGGATAAGGTAAAATTGAATTTCAATTCTAAATATAAATATTTTATTTCATTATTTTCATTAATAAATCAAATTATTTGTTACATATTAATTATTAATTTTTGAAGTTGTAAAATAAATTAAAATAATAAATTTAATTAAGAAAAATATAGATATTTATTTACTTTAAATTAGTAAACTAAAATTAAAAAAAGATTTACGTATAGCTTAATTATATTTTAATTACTTTCTGTATATGTGATAAACTTCCAGGCTAGTAGGTTCTTTGTATAGAAAGCAGAAATAAATCCCTTTAACGAGTCTGTTTGGTCCAGATTCTGAATTATACTTAAATGTAATGATTTTTTGTATTTGGGTATATCATAAATTGCTGAGGCCACTTGGAGTTTTGTTCTTGATTAATTGTATATATAGGGGATTGATTCTGAAATACACTTGTTTGCAATGTGTTAACCCTGCTCTTCTAGAGAAACATATCTACTTGAGTACCTCTTATGTAAGATCTTGGATTTGAATAGTGATAAGTGTGTTTTTGTACACTTATTTAATACTTAAATATACTTAATATTGATAAAAATAAGCGAATTTCTACTCGCAATTATGTAATTATTGCGCTTGTAGGTAAAAATCACCAAAAGGAAAGAGAACAAGACAAAAGGAGAAAATTGACTAAAAGTGTGCAAGATTGTGAAGTTGGGGACCAAGTTGCACAAGTGTCGAAAGTTGGAGGACATTGGGAAGCAATTTATGGAGGACAAAATTGATATAAAAGTCAAAATTTGAGGACCAAAATGTACAACATCAATGTTGAGGGACTAACTATGCAAATTATCCTGAGGACCTCCTGTGCAATTTGTGATTTCACCAAGAGTGCGCACCCGCACACTCTACTTCTGGAATGGTGCGCACCTGCGCAATTTTAGATTTAGTGCACACACGCGCACTTGCGCGTTNGACGTCTTCTCTCTGCTTCCTCCCACCGCTTCTTCCTTTCTTTTTTTTTTATATTTTCCTTCATTTTTCATTTTCTCTTCCTTTTTGGATATACAATCTAGAGCACAAAGAGATTCAATCAAAGATTTGGAGAAGTATTTGGGAAAATCAAAGCCAACAAGAAAAAAATGGGTCTTATCTATACTTTATATTTCTCATTTGTTTTGCCATTTTTTTTATAATGAATGTTATGCATATTCTCATTTGCTATCAAATGTATAAAATTGGCTAATTGATTGTGTTGGGATTTCTGGTTTTAGTTGAACCTAACTTTTAATTAATTTTAATATTTGCTCCTTAATATTATGTTGTTTATTTTCATGTGTTTCTACTATTGTATTACTTGCATTTTCATTTATGTGGCCAATAAATGATTGTGTTTGGTGATTTGTACATCGTTCGAGAGAAGATTGTGCATTTTAAACCAAATAGTAGAAATCCTAGGTTCGTTTAATGGATAGAGATATACCATTAGCCCCAGGTGACCCAATGAGCTATTTTCACAATAATTGAATGCGATTGTTTGATTGTAATCGACATAGAGATATAGTAGGTTAAACTAATCAATTAGGGTTAATTTCATTCGAGAAAGGTAATTAACTAAAATTGGAAGATCGGGTCTAACATCATAATTAAGTAATTCGTTGATTGGTTTATAGAGAAATTAATTAGGCGATGGTTAAACGTAACCACGAATCCCGATCACGTTCTTTCTCCGAAATTTTCAAATATTTGTGTTTTTCTTATTTTCTAAATTTTTAGTTTATTTACCGTTTTTCAAATATCATGTTTAATTGTATGTGTTTCATTTGATTGTTAGAATTAAATTGATTAAAATCGTGTAATCTAAAGTAACATTTCTCGAGGGATCGACAATCTGGACTCAAAAAGTCTACTTTATTACTTGAACGCGACCTGTGCACTTGCGGTATTATTTTCAAGCGAACAAATAGCTGGGACAAAAGAAATTTACGTTGTGGCTCAACCTCCAGTGAACATGCATATGACCGCATTGGCCATGTCGAGTCTTGATGTCCTAATCTGGTGGCCATGGTAGGGGGCACGTGTTACATATTCGGTGAAATGCATTTTTTTGTGATCACCTGGGGACGTATCCAAAGTGATGTTTGAAAGTTATTTTAGTGCTGTCTTTTGTGTCAAATATACTCATTAACTAGGACTAAAATAGGACTAAAATAATAACTAAATATGGAAGCAATCAATTACAATATTAATTAATGGTACAAACAATCTATCTATATCTAATACAATTATAATAATTTAATCGTAATCTTCGACGATTTTCGAAATTTTATTCAAGCTCCTTGACAGTTAACTAGCATATGGATAANTACAATGCACTATAGCTAAACCGAAGGTACAATGTACCACAGGCAAACCAAATTTATTTTTATCCCATATCAAAAGTTTATAACAAAATATTAGGAGATGTCCTCTATAAATAAGTGAGTCAGAGCAACCAATTACGAAAATTAGGAACGACGAGAGACCAAGAACAACAAATAATGCAAAAACAACAAAAAACTACTCCAAAGCCACTCCAAGAACACTCCAAAGATATTACAAGATACTACGAGAACCTTTCAAGAATATGACGAGAAACTACGAGAACTCACACTCCCCAAGAAGAATTTCCAAAAGAAATTCATGAAGTGTGTCGACACACACAGTGAGCTCTATCTGTCGGGAGAACTTGGTCGAACGTATAATTCGTGTTCCAACAAAAGCTCTAACGCCAAAACACCGGCCACAACTCCAGATGCTGTAGGTGGAACAAATCCCACAAAACAGCTCAACCAAAACGCGATGATCTGCACTTCCATGTTTCTCTATTCTCACGAATCACCATATAAAGAGGAAAAAAAAATCAAAGCCCAATCTAAAAAAAAACGAGATGAATAAGGTTAATTTGTTTAGGTGGAGATATGTATTGACTTATAATTTGTAGAACTGCAAAAAATGATCGTGTTTATTCAAAAAATAAAATTGGCCGGGGCAAGCATCACAAGGCAGCCCGCCGGAAACGAAATTCAAGGGTTAATTTGTTTAGGATGGGAACAGCTCTGATACCATGTCAAATATACTCAATAAAAGACTCGATGCCCTCTTTGTGAAATGTTCCTTCATTAAATATGACTAAAATAACAACTAAATATGGAAGCAATCAATTACAATATTAATTAATGGTACAAACAATCTATCTATATCTAATACAATTATAATAATATAATTGTAATCTTCGACGATCTCCGGAATCTTATTCAATCTCATTGACATTTTGATGATCACAAGTTTCGTCTTGTTCGAATTTTATATCAGTTGCAATCCTTAATCCTCTGTTTCAAATTTCATCCAAAAAGCAATTTCATGGAGATCATTATGATTTTATGAATAAATCTTGTGTCTAATAACTGAAATATACAATTGATGGATAACAACTACATCCATACATTTTCTCTTGCTAGTGCGGATTCGTTCATGTCCATCCACATTTATTTTGATCGTATTTTAGGCTATTACCGACGATGAGCTGATTGCCCTGGTTTCAGATGAAGTTTTCCAACCACAAGTTGTTTGAAACTTGGAGATGTGCAGGTATGTCTATGTTCAGCCTCCCTGTTTCAACTCAATCGTTTAATTTACATTCGATCAAGAATGATGATTCAGTCAATTCATGATGGACACCTCCTAATGGACAGGTTACATGTGGGACTCTTGGCCTTTCTACTGCAACTGTAAAACTCATTGACATGGATGGTGCAGAGCATGTTGCTTGCTCAGTTGGAACGGGGCCAGTTGATGCAGCATATGAGGCAGTTGATCTTATTGTGAAGGTTTGAAATGCAGCAGTTCAAATTTTTATTTACATTTCTACATCAAACGGGTTTTTGGTGATTCTGCAGGTTCCTGTAACGCTTCTTGAGTATTCCATGAATGCATTGACTGAAGGCATTGATGCTATAGCCACCACTAGAGTTCTAATTCGCGGGCAGGAGAGCTACACATCAACGCATGCTTTGACAGGAGAAACTGTCGACCGTGCTTTCAGTTTGGCAAGTGATCCATTTTGCCTTTTCGTCATCGTTTATTTCTCTAAAATTCGAAAAAGAGCTTTGGTTGCAACACATGACGTGGTTTTTTCCTATCGCCAGTGGAACTGGAGCAGCAATGGATATTGTCGTATCCAGTGTTCGTGCCTATGTTGGTGCACTTAACAAGATGCTTGGTTTCAAGAACCGGTTTGAAAACGGAGGATCGTCTGGTAAACTTTAGTGCAGCCTGTAATTAACTGCTAATAATTGGAGAGCAAAAAATGTCTAGTATCCTTGAGAATATGTGGTGCGAAAGTGTATGAAATTCTTGTAATAAGAATTATATTAAAATAATTTTGTTTTGTATTGATATATGATTGATTGATCAAAAAGTGTACAATAACCCTATATTTATAGGCAAAATTATCCCTAATCCTATTAATAAAAGGAAACTAAAATAAGAAAACTAAATTCTAAAAGGAAATAAACAAATCATAATCTAAACAATATTTAAAAATAAACCTATTACAACTAAAAAAGATAAATCACGATTATAGTAGCAAACTATTGATCATAATTATGTACTACATCAATTCCCTCCACTTAAATAAAACTCATCCTCGAGTTTTCTTGAAGAAAAATCAATCAAATTCGGAGGAAAATACCCAAAAAATTTCGCAAATACCAATATTGAAAAAATGACCATTTCTAGATGTGCTCGATAAACGCCATTATATTCTTCAGTTGTATATTCAAAGTCAACTTTGTTCCCATCATGCTTGTTATATTTTCTTCACGGATAATTTGCAAATGACATTTGATGAGTGTAATCATCTCATTAAATATGCACTTTCAAATCTTAGTTTTTAGTTTGATCTTGAATACTTTTGAACATTTTGATGCGTGTTTTGATGTTTTGTAGCTAGACAAATTGGATCAAAATGGAGTGATTTGAAACTTGGAATGGAGTGACGATAATGATCATAGATGGAGATATGGTTTGGAGAAAAAAATGATGTAGAACGACGTGGAAAAGAAGCAAACAAAGAAAGAAAAGCAAAAAGGGGAGCCAAAAAGAAAGTTCAAGGGGCTGGCGCTGTGAGGGCTGGCGCCGTGTTTTTTTTTTAGAAACCTGCCCCATTTCAACTGGATTTCGACGTACAACCTAAAAGAACTATAAATACATTTTTTGTAGACCTAAAGGGGGTTCTTTGAACGGCTAGAAGGAGAAGAAAACAATAGGGCAAAGTTCTTGAAGAAATACATCGAAGAAGAGACGATTGACACAATTTGGAGAAGAAATCAAGCGGCAATAAATAGTTTTTCTAAACTCGTCTCCTTAATCATGTTTTTCATATTAAATTCTATTTTGTCAATTGTATTCATTATGAACTAATACTTTAGATCTAGGGTTTGATGTAATCGACTTGAGACATGTTTTAATTCCTAATTATCTAGTTCTTTTGGATTTTTCCATCAATTTATTTATGTAGTTTATGTTTAATGCCTTCAATTACCTGACCACTAGTTGAAAGAATTGATGCGTGAATTTCGACACTCGAGAGAGGGAAATTTAGGCGTGATCATAAAACTACATAACCTAGATTTCGTAGATTTCGAGAGAAAGTACGGATTTTTTAGGCTTGTTTGATTTAAGAACTACGTGCATTATAATTTTTACATATTTAATTCGGAATAGAGATATTAGAATTAAATAGTAAAAATAGATTCTAGCCGATACTCGAGAGAGGGGGTAGAATTATATTAGGGTTCTTGCCTATAAATTGAGATAAATCTGATTGAGTTATTATGTTTAGGTTGAAAAACATTGTCGATAGAACGATGAAATCATTCCCTAGAATTTTATAATTTGATAACTTCCTGGAATTTTGCACTTGTTTACTCGCCAACTTTAAGTTACAAATACTAGTTAAAATCACACCACCATCCCAATTGCTTGTCCAAATAAAGTAGAAACTACACAATTATAGTATTCAATAGAAATCATATATTAGTCCTTGTGGGTTCGACAATCTTCACTTCATCATTATATTACAAAACTTGGTACCGTACACTTGCAGCATAAATTCACCTTGTAGAAAATGCGTGACTACATTCCTCATAAACGAAGCATGATTTGATTTTTCTTCATTGAGTTTGCCCTCGATAGAGGCTACTTGTGCTATTTTCAATTCTTCGTACTTCTTACCTTTTGCTGTAATGTTTAGTGATGCTTTCTTCAACACAAAAGAACTGGTACGCGGACTCAAATCCTCATCGTCCATGTTTTCCTTATTTCTATGCAATTCTTTGACACTAAAGCTGTAGAAAAAGTCAACAAAATTGTTATTCTCAATTTGACAATCTTCACCTTTGACTCTTTCGTGATTGCAAAATTTATTTTCTTCCTCTCCTGTTGAATACTTCTGATCCTCAACTTGTTAATCCTTGGTGTGCAGCTCGATCTTGAAGTTTTCAATTGTAATTTCCATATACAAGGAATCAATAGGTCTTGGATTTTCAATGCTCATGCTTTTCTTTTTCTGTTTTAGTACCATGGTTGGTAACATCTTGATTATCTTGAATTACTTCTTTTTTAGCCTCACCATCTGTCTTATAAACCTTTTTCTCTTTGTCATTCATAAATTGTTCATCACATGACACCAAGACAATCTTTTATAAGCATTTTTCTCTTTGTCATTCATAAATTGCTCATCACATGACACCAAGGTAATCTTTTTATCGTACCACCTAAAAACATATCTATTATCTCGACCTATGTAAGTGGCATCTACATCATAGTACTATGATTGTCCCCAAAGTACATGACAATTGTCTATTTCTACCATATTAATTATAATCTCATCTTTATAGTACTTTCCAAGAGAAAGTAAAATTTTACATATCTTTATATTTTGAGTTTCTTGCCCCCGTAAAGCTTGATAACAAGATGAATATTTTTCAATTTTCAAATTTAAATCTTTCACCAATGCTTTGGACGCCAAGTTCAAACTACTTTTATGATTTATTATCACCTCGCATACTTTGTTGTTGATGGTGCATCGTGTTTTAAAAATTTTGTTACACTTCAAATTGGATTCTTTTATATTTTCTCGATAGACTTTTGTAGAATCCTTGATAACTTGTATGTATTCAAATTTAGCTGGGATTTAAGGAAACTCTCTAACCACCTGTTGTCGTATTTTAATCTTGTTGAAACAACAAACATTCATAGCAGTTAAAGTCTGCAAATTCTTGTTAATTTGCTTCTCCATGGGTTCGCGATTTCTTTCGAGACTCAACGCAGTCACCATCTGCGTGATGTTATGAAGGGTTTCATCAATCCCCTCGATTTGTTGTTGGAGTTTGTCGAGCCTCCGTTCGTCGTCGACGGTTCGACTAGCACCAAGACCATCATCAGCCTTCAAATTGAGGCAATTTCCTTGCTCTGATACCAATTTTGGTGAGGAAGCGTTTATGAAATTCTTGTAATAAGAATTGAAATAAGAATTATATTAAAATAATCTTGTTTTGTATTGATATATGATTGATTGATCAAAAAGTGTACAATACCTCTATATTTATGGACAAAATTATCTCTAATCCTATTAATAAAAGGAAACTAAATTCTAAAAGGAAATAAACTAATCTTAATCCAAACAAGATTTAAGAATAAACCTATTACAACTAGAAAAGATAAATCACGATTGTAGTAGGAAACTATTAATCGTGATTATGTACTACATCAATATGTTATACTTAGATTATTTAAAACCTCGAGTAGAAGAAATTGTCAGTGGGCATCAAAATTTGGGCTACAGTTATGAAAATTGTAGATAATTTAAGAACCATACTGCACAGTCGTTGAATTTGTGTTTATGAGCTTTCGAGCATATTACAATTATAAGTAGAAAATGTATAGATTCAAATAAGTTTTGAACAACTAAAGTTTTTCACTTTGTTGATATTGGACTAACTTGAGAGATTCTTCGTATGGCCAAGAGAACCCCGCTTATTTTTCCTAGTAGGTTCTTCACAAACATTGGAATCCAACGGTCGAGTGATTCTTCATATGGCCAAGCGATCGTCGCTTATTTTCCAAGTAGATTCTTCACGTCATCGAAATCCAACGGTCAATGGAGGTTCAACTCTTCCCAAAACAATGGAGGTTACCTGCATACAGTGACGAAAGAAAACAAAAGGTGACATTGAAAATAAGTATCCTTCATAGCCACTCACTAACATTCCTGCTTTAATAGGCTGCAACTCATTAGCAAAATACTAAGAAAACAGTTCTCTTACCTTAAGAAAATGACACAAATTGACTTCATATACTATCGACTTGGAAAAGAATGGATGAACTACAGATTTCAAAATGGGGTGGGAAATTCCCTGTAGTTGTGTCATCAATGTCTATGTTGTCTTCAGATTCTGTACACCGGTGATGTTAGGTAAAGGAATTTCTGGTCGAGAACCAGCTGTTGCAGATTCACGCAGCTGCAATTGGTCCAAGTTTATGACAATCAGTTATACCTAAAACCAAAATCCCACAATTTGTCACCCAACTTGAACAAAAGAAACAAAAATAATCCCCATTTACCTTTTTCCGTGTTGGGATTTATGGTAATCGAACACTTCAAAATTGTGATCACAAGAATTTCCCCGCAAGTTATTAAATGCATATTTTGAAAATACGATTCCTATAAAGTCCCTTCACACATGACAGACAACACAGCAAGATTGTACGAGGAATAGTACCAAAGATATTCCGTGCACATGGCTTCATCACAGTTCTGAGCGTCCAACTTGAGTCAAATGTGATGGATTATTATACGAATGTGTAACGAGGAGCGCACGAGGTATGAGACTAAGGATATTAGTCTACTTGCCCTTCGGTGTTTGTTCATTTGACAACCATTGTATATTCTGTGCAGTTTAAGAATACAGTTGACAAAAATCAGTGGACGAGCAAAAATTAAAGATAAAATTAAATAATATAACTTACTGAATGGTAATTTTTGTGATTGAGAATTTAAATGATATATGTGACCCCAGCTTAAGCATTTATGTCAAGTGCTTTAACATAGTATCTGTGCAGGCAAATGTCTTGTCGTCCTGGGTTCAAGTCTCTTGGCAACCCATTGAATTGTGCACGTTTTTGTTAGGCTTTTGATGGGAAATCCTGCCTACATGTGAGGAAGCGCGTTGAAGACAATATTTAAATAATATACATGTGGCTGTATGCCTGTATCTAACAACTTAAAACTCTTAGATCAAGTGGTCAACACTTGCCAATTTTCTACAAACAGAAAGCCATTCTTCTAATGTCTCTGTTATTAAAATGAAGAACACAGTATTCCCTTTCTCCAAAACCCACTCTTCTTTGATCAGATCCCTAAACTGGTTGCCTAAAGGAAACATCGAGAATTCTTATCATGGTCATGTCATTAATGTGATGTTGACAAAGGCTTTCATTGTTGACCATTGGTGACATAGTGCTGATACTTGTAGGTAGACTATGCTCGTTACCCTCAGTTGTAGTGTTGTGGGTTCAGGTGCACAATTAATGGGAAGCAGTGCAGGGATTGTGCTAACTGCTAAGGGTGATTGCATGGATCTCTAGAGGGAGCAGTGGTCATCAACAAGCACAATGCAAAGCAGGCATAAAACAAGTGGATAGTCTTCAAAGCATAATAATATAGGCACTGATTTGTAAAACTTTGGATCATGTACAAAGCTTATAGCTGTCTGAACTATGAAATAATAGCAGGGTGATTGACAGAACACAGAATCCACCCCACTATCTCACTGGTCAATCTGCAAAAGGTTAGGTTGGTATCTGCTCCGACTAATTTTGCATCTTCAGAGGAATATGCAAGGTAGTTTAGCTTTCATATACCATATAGAATAGGGGAAGCGGGCAAATCATTCACTGAAAAGAGAGGGTAGCACTGCTTGTCCCTTTATAGAAATGCAATGAAATATTCATTACCAATGTCATGCTTTCGGCCTTTACTGGAGCATATAAGATTTTGCAGAAGTCTTCAAGCATTTTGGGTATTAATAACAAACAATGCTTGGCCTAGAAAAGCTCACATTCTTTGGCATGAGACAACCTCCTCTAAAAAATACATAGGCATTTGTCCGCTACCGAATGATTGTGGTACAATAAATCTACATTTATGTGTCATATTAATGATTGTGGTACAATAAATTCAATTTTAAAATAATATCTACCATAAGGTTCTAAATTTCCGAAATGACAAGGATGACAACCTCCTCTAAAAAACACAGGCATTTGTCCGCTACCGAATGTATCCACCAAGGGATAATAATGCTACAAGTATAATGGAGAGAACTGTAATTATTAGAGACCTAGAATTGTATTTCAATTTGTTTTATTGGGACTTTCAGCTTTGAGGGAACAGAAAGTGATGTAAGATCATCAAAATATAAAATAAAAAAATCTTCAATTAATCAACATCCAGATAAATAGAAGCAATAAAAAATAATCAGCAGTTGATAGTGGTATGTGGGAAAAATTATATTTATAAAATCTAGACATGAAATATGGGCCAGCCATCCAACAGTTTATTCACAAAATGCAACAAAGTCTATCATTCCCCATGCTCAACATGCGACTTCAAAGAACTTTGAGTTATGGTTCTTGCTCAGGTTAAGAAAATGAAAACTTAATACTAAACACAGCCAAGACAAGGTTGTCTTTTTGCAAATGATGGTAGAAGTTCATTTGAGAGAAATAATAAGCAAATCAATACATCCGCACCAGATGCTACATGAATGAGCGCAGATATGTAAGAGTGAGTGACATCTAACTAGAACATGCTTAGAAGCTTGCTTCTATGCAGCAACACAGTTTCCTTGAAAGAATATTGCTATAAAAGGATTGCAGCCAATAAAAAGTTTTGAAAAGTCGAAAAATGAAAGAAAAAAAGAAATTTCAGAACTCAATATTTTCAGAATCATGTATACTCCACAATATGGTTAAGATGGTAAAGCTTCATTCAGTTGATTTTATGGCATGGCAACTTTCTCTCTTAGTGATTTTTATCCATTTTCTTTTGGTTCGTGATTTTGTTTCTTATAATATAGGTAATTGGGACTAAAAAGTAGTAAAAGAACTCACCAGAACAACCTATGAAAACTGAATACAGTATGAATCAATAATTTAAACTTCAAAATGAGACAAAGTAAGAGGATATAACTACGAACCATGTAACATAAGCTTTCTGATAGTAGAAGTGCATCTTCCCATCTGTTAACCTTGATAAGCCCTTTTATGAGGTTAACAATGACACTCAACTCAGGAGTTCCCCCTTTTTCTATCATGTCAGCGTACAGCTCAAATGCCTTGTCAACTTTATGTGAAATGGAGAGGCTCTCAATCAAAGAATAATATGTATTCATGTGAGTAGGTGAAATGAATGGCACAGCAGAAAAATCTTTATGCAGCTCTAAAGCCATTTCGAGTCTTCCAGCTTTCTGAAAGCTATTAATAAGAACTTTGTATACTGGAACAAGGGGAACAGAATCATTCTGTCCCATTTCATCAACTAGTCCGAGACTCATTATGAACTCCTTGCTGAAGCCTTCAATGACTTTGTGATAGTTTGTCAAGTGTCTTGGCCAATATGTCAGTTTCATCTCCTCTAGAAGTTGGTAAGCCTCGTCCAAGAGTCCAATAGCACAACAATGATTTATCAAGACCCTATATGTGATATAGTTTGGAGCACAGCCTTTGGTGCTCATCTCCTGTAAGAGTTCAAGGCTCTTATCTACTTTACCAGCTTTTCCGAACCCATCTATCATGGCAGTATAAGTTACAACATTTGGCTTACAACCTTTTTCCTCCATCATCAGCATCAGTTTGTAAGCTTCTCCTGTCTTGCCAACTTTACTAAGTCCATCAATCATCTCCGTATAGATAATAACATTGGGAGCACAAGAACTTTCAAGCATTTTAGACAATACTTTCAAAGCAAGATCCAGACGTTTATCTTTAAACAACCTGTCAATTAGAGAGCTGTAAGTATAAACATTTGGACTGTATCCACGTTCTGACATCTTAGCAAATACTTCCTGTGCTTCTTCCAGCTTACCAACCTTGCAAAAGCCATCAATAAGAGCATCATAAACAACATGATTCGGTTCACAGCCTTCTTCCGACATTGCATCCAAAAGACTACGGGCCTCTTCGACCCTGTGTGCTTTGCATAAACCATCAACCAAAGCACCATATGTAACTATATTCGGTTCCTTACTGCTACCGTCAGAAATTCTAAAGTAAACATCTACCTCTTGGGAATTACCATTTCCCCTCATTCGTGCATAAATCTGGCAAGCCCTTTCTACATCTCCAGCTTTGCAGTACCCATCAATCAAAGCAGTATATGTGACAACATTCGGGGTGCATCCTTTTGATAACATCAACTCAAATAGCTCATTTGCTTCAGACATTTTCCGTGCTTTAAGGTAAGCATGTATAAGTGCAGTATATGTCACCACATTAGGAGTACATCCATCCCTTAACATTTCACTCAACCAGCAGCGAGCCTGTTGAATAAGGCCAGCTTTACAGAAACAATCAATCAAAATTGTGTATGTGTAGACATTAGGAACAATATCATTCCTTCTCATTTCTCGGAACAACAGGAATGCCTTGTCTACTTTGGAAGAGTCACAAAGAAAACCAATGACTTTGTTGTATGTGCTAGTTTCAGGTATGAATCCCTTGGTCATCATTTCATGAATCACGGTATATGTTTTCTCATACTTTCCAACCCCGCAAAGGCATCGCGCGAAATTGCTGACATTGACTTTGTTCAATACTATTCCTGCATCAAGCATATCACTATAAGCTTTTTCTGCCAATTCTAACACACCCGGAATTGGCAATTCCTCATTGCCACAGATACTTCCAATCAGTATATTATAAACAACATAACCAGGCTGGTAACCACAATCCGCCATTTTCTTCAGCAATTTATAGGCATAAGAATAGTCACCAGACTTGCAATAGGCATGAACAAGAGAATTAAATATTTTAGGACTTGGGTAACAACCTTCTGTAATCATCATACTAAGAATCCTTTTACACCTACCCAATTTCCCCTTATTTAGGCACCCACATAGCAAAACTTTATATGTCACAACATTAGGAACACATGAATTTGATCGCATCCTATTCAAAAAATCCATAGCCTCTTCAAAAAGAGAAGCTTCACACAAGCCAGATATCATTTTTGTATAAAGCACTGTATCGGGGACAGCATCTTCCTTGTCAATTACCTCAAGAGCATCTCTCCATTTACCAATTTTACATAAAGAATGCACAAAACAGCCCAACAAATGCACGTCCATCTTAAAACCCAAATGCAACATCTCCCTGTGAAGTAAAAATGCTGTGTCCAACCTGCCTGCTTCCAAAAACACCAAGATCAACGCATTGTATGTGGCTCTTGAAGGCTTATACCCAAAATACTTGAGCCTCCCTAACTCCTCCAAAGCCAAATTCCACATCCCATTTCTACAACACTTCTGAATCAGTACATTAAGCAATCTCCCAAGCACTTCTCTATCATCATCCCTAATTTCTTCTAAAAAATGGTTCGGTATTCTGTCATATTTACCGCAACCCAATAAATCTAATACAGAATTATAAACAGCTAAACTATGAGTATATCCTATTTGCCTACCTACCCACACGAAGAACTTGACACCTAATTCAGTACTTTGTACATTTTTTAGCACATCAACAACTAAATTCTCATTCAGTTTCTCCCTGAATAGCCTAAGAAATTTCTGGGATTTGTCTCCAACCCCATCATTATTAGTCCTTATAGCATTTATGATTGTAAACGCATCATTTGAGCACTTACCAGACCCATTCTTTTCACCTTTAGAGTCAGACAAAGAGTCCCTGATAAATGTGAAGTCTTGGTCTGAAACTGATTGCGCCCGAGAATTTTGGGGTGAATAAGAGTCGTCGTTCCCAGGGAAATTGAGGTCTGGGTCTACTAATCCTTGTAGACTGTTGTCAGTGCTGAGGAATCTGGTGAAGAATTTGAAAGAGTAAAAGGGTAGAGTTGGAGAAAAAAGAGCAATACTGAGTACTCTTTTGCTCATTGTTCAGTGAAGGGTT